AGACCATTATGATTACATTTAAATCTGGCCCCCAAATAGCCTTTTAACTGACCCAGTTAAAAGCTCAGGCAATGGAGTGCCACCGATGTGATCGAATCTTGGTTCCATCAGCTGAGTTATGTTAGATAACTTACTGCACCCAGCTGACATTCTGAACTGTATTATTCCTGCTACTCAAAGAAGCAGGAATAATAACAGTAACAACCTCAGTAGATTGCTGGCCAGGTGACTCGGTTGGTTGGGGGCATCATCCCATTTAACAAAAGTCTGTGGGTTTGATTTTTGGTCAGGGCACATGCCTAGGTTGTGGGTTCGATCCTCATTTGCAGCATGTACGGGAGGCAACCGAAAGATCTCTCTCTCTGTCTTAAAGTCAATGAAATATATCCTCAAGTGAAGATTAAAAAAAAGAAAAGAACTGCTGCCGGGTTTAAACAAGATGATGCTTCCACGGTGCCTGGCAATGAGGGAGTACTCAATGAATTCTTGTTTTTACCGAACTATTAACTACTCCCCAAACCTGACCTGAGCTACATTTTCCTGTGTCTAACTCTTCAAATTTCTCTTTTCCAATTTCTACCGGGTGAAAGCCCCGAAGACCTACCCCAAATGCCACCTCCTGCATGAAACCTTGTAAGATGCTCTTATCTGGATGTGACCTCTTTCTCCTTGGAACAACCATTGGGCTTGAGAAAGTGCTGACACACTACCGACCTCTGCCAGGGTTACTGGTGGGTGAGTCCTACCTACTCAGGACGGCTCCGTGAGGGCACAAACTGCCTCGACTCATGTTTATGTCCTTCCGGCCCCGCCACAGGGCTCTGCATGTTCTAAGTGAGGAATAAAGTCCATAAGCAACAAAACTCATAGAGTAAAAAATAAAAATCATAAAAAATATGAAAAAACTGGGGATCACTGAATTAATCTGAGAGATCAGAGATCTTAAGACCAATTTACATAAAAGCAAGAAAAAGAATAGGTTTTCTTCATAAAAATTAAACATTTATTGTTGAAAAACATGATAGCATTAGAGACAGAAAGAAAAGGTACACTAGGAAATAATTTCAGCCCATACGATAAACCACTTTAACATGTAATAGAAAAAATTGTAATAGAGAATCCATATATGTAAATAACACTTTAAAAAAGTCTTTGTAAACAACAGAAATAGTAAAAAAAATTGTAAAAAGTAGACACAGTGCACAAGTACCCTGCTTCTGAGAGACAAAGGTACCCCCAAAAGAGCAGGGCGTGGGGCTCAGTCCCTGGCAGGGCTTTTACACTCCACGTGTGGAAACTGACTTGTGAGAATTGGCAGCCAAGTCCTGTCTGACAGGAAAAATGAAAGACTGTCAGGCTTGAACATTGCTGGTGGCATTATAAAACACTATGCTCCTTGGCAATGTAGATCAAGAGCCACACAAACTTTCAGATCCTTTGGCAGAGAAATTTCACTTCTAGGAATCCGCCATAGGGATCATTACTAGTACGACTATTAATAAATTACAGTTCAATCACATGATTTAGCCTTTTTAAAAAAGGAATATTCAGAAACCAAAAAAAATGTGCTTATATCAGAAAGCAAACAGAAAAAGGCACCTTCTCAAACAACACTAAAAATATCATCACTATGAAACCCCAGTTTTGTATTTTTAATACCCAAACAATGAGGACCAGGTGTTAGAGGACCGAGAACACGGCAACAACGCCCACCCTCGCCACTCCCACTCAGCAGAGCCCTGCTGGTCTTGACCATCGCAGTAAACAGGAAAAAGAAATGAAAAGCATGAAGACAGAAAAAAAAGAAGAAAAGATTTCATCTGTTTGCTGACAACTTAAAAAACTAGTGAGTACATTTAGCAAGGGTGCAGGACACAAAGTGACTGTCAGGATTAATTATTATTTTCCATATTAGCAATGATTTAAAAAAATGTTGCAAAACATAAAATAAAAATGAGCACAATGGAAACTAAAAAACATTGTGGAGAGAAATGAAAGAACACCTAAATAAATAAAAAGGCATAAGAAGCTCATGATCAAAGAGACTTAATAAATATTAAGAAAACATCAACTGTCCCTACATTCACCTACAGACTCAATGTAATGCCAAATCATAAACCCACCAGATTTTTTGTTTTCTAATGTACATTGACAAGCTCATTCTAAAATGTGTAGGAAAATGCACATCATTTAGTATATTCAGAGAAATATTTTAAAGGAGCAAAATTAAACAACATACTATCTGACTTCAAAATTTATCATAAGGTTACAGTAATCAACTGACAAACAGACCAGTGAAACAGAACAGAGGGCCAGAAACTTCGACTGCCACGTTCAACAGTGACAGAAGCACTGGACAAAGGCAAGATTTGTTGCTGTTTTTCAAACATGGTGCTGGAATAACTAAATGTTCATAATGAAGGAAAAAAATGAATCTTGACCCCTACTTCAATTCATACACAATTACACAACATGTAATTGCCTGACCTAAGGTGGGCAACAGCTTCTTACAGGACTTGTGATAGCAGTGACTATAAAAAGTTGCTAAGTTAGACACCATCAAAATTAAAAACTTCTGCTCATTTATAGACACCAATAAGAAAAGTAAGCCACAGACTAGGATGAAATATTTTTGAAACATGTATTCAAAAAGGAATAGTGCCCAGAGAATATTTAAAAAATTCCTACGGCCAGTCCTGGCTGGGTAGCTCAGTCGGTTAGAGGCTCATCACGACACACCAACTCTGGGGTTGATCCGCAGCCAGGTCACACACAAGAAACAACCAGTGCGTGCGTAACAAGTCAAACGGCAAATCCACGTTCCTCGATCTCCAGCTCTCTCAAATCAATACAATGAAATTCCCAAGACTCAATAAATAAAAAAAAAAACAACTCAATTAGAAAATGGCTACATGATATGAACAGATAATTCACAAAAGAAGACACACAAATGGGTAACAAGCACATGAGAAAGTGCTCAATGTCACCAAAGAAATCCAAATACAAACCCACAAAAAAATACCACCACACACTGACTTAGGATGGCTAAAAGTAAACAGACTAACATCAAATGATGGCAAAGACAGGAAGTAACCAGAACTCTTAAGCATTACTGGTGAAAATGTAAAATGGTACTACAACTACATTGGAATAAATTCTAGCAGTTTCTAAAAAAACTAAACATTTATCCATCTTATGACACAGCATATCCTGTCCTAAGTATTTTTCCAAGATAAATGGGAAAAAATGTCAATAACAACAAAAACACTGTACAAGAATGTTCATAGCAGCTTTTCTCATAAAAGTAAAACAGCAGAAGTAGGCAAATTTCCTTTAACAAGGGGAATAAACTGTGACATATTCATATAATGGAATATTACTCAGCAATAAAAAGGAACATGGTACTAATACCTGTTACAACATGAAAATCTCTAAACATTACACTAAAGTCTTACACAAAAGAGTACAATTGTTTGGTAATAGTTACAAGAAATTCTAGATGAAGCAAACTAATCTTTGGCAGAGAAAAATCGGAACATGTGGTTAGCTCTTGGAGGCTGGGGCAATGACCAGGAAGAGGTATAAGGGAACATTTTAGGGTGATGAGCTACACAGAGACAAGTATTTATTTACTAAAACTTTATGGGAATTTCACCTCAAAAGAAGAAAAACCTGTTCTGACTGGAGTGGTTCAGTTGATTGGATGTTGTCTCACAAACCTAATGATCGCTGGTTCAATTCCCAGTCAGGGCACATGCCTTGGTTACTGGTTCAGCACCCAGTCAGAGCATGTACAAGAGGCAACCAATCAACGTTTCTCTCTCACACTGATGTTTCTCTCCCTCTCTCTCTCCTTCCCTTCTCTAAAAATAAATAAATAAATCCTTTTTTTTAAAGGAATAAAAACTTTTAAGATTGATATACTTTTAGTTAATAACACACATGCTGAATGAACTATTACTTGAAAGTGTACTGATGTCTATAACTTTCTTTTAAAATACATAAACAAATAAGATAACTGGTGGATAAATGGATAGATAAGTGGAAAAACAGCATGGTAAAATATTAATGATGAAATTTAGGTGTGGGTATATAGGAATTCATTGTGAAAAACTTTTGTGTATGTTTGAAATTCATAAGAGAATGTTGGGAGAAAAATAAGTATCACTGTTGTGATGCTGATAAAATACTTTTTACTTGTTTTGTTCTATTTTCTAAGTTCTCTACAATGTGCTATGTAGCCTATAATTTTTAAACATTTTTAAAAGAAAGGAAATCAATCACATTGATCAAATAATAAAATATCAATTATTTCAAAACAAATTTAAAATTTCACTTCAGAATCAATGACAGTTAAAATAGTCACCATTCTCAACCTCACCATTACTTAACTCACTAGGCCTTAAACCAATTATGTAACAAGTCACCGGTTTTGAACTAATTAAAATGTGCTGAAATAAACAAATGCGGTATTTCAAGTTTTTTCTTTTAATGCTTATGTGAGTGCTCCCTTGTACTCAAACCCACTCCCTGCCCAGATCATTCTGGGTTAACGTGTGCTCTTCAAAAGTACATCATTTCTTAGACTCTGTAATAACCAAGCAGGGGGACGCTTCTTAAGAAATCTGAGAGTTGGCTGTTTACTTTCAAAAGGGCTTTATCTTTAGATAAGCCGGAGCTTTAAGCCAGGTGCTAGTCATTTGTGTCTTGTTAATTTCCAAAACAAACAGAGGAGAGTGCCATGCAATTTCCATTACTCACACTTCACCATTAGTACCAGGGTTTATTGGCTTGACACTGCTCCAGGAATAATGGTTTCATTCCTCACTGAAATAAAATAATGTGCCACATAACTCAGCAATGCGGAACTTTTGAAAAATGTTGTCATGTTCAACATGGTCATGTATTTAAAAGTCTCCCTTCTGCCAAAACAAAGGCCATTTGCTGCAGAGAACTTACACACTGGGCGTGGAGAATTCTCACACGGGCCTCAGACTTACCTCGTCGCTACGCCATATGATTCCGGGTGAATACAAGTCTGGTCCAAAGGATCTGGCTTCAGTACAGCATTCGCTGCGGTTTTGCTCTTCTTCTTGCCCGGCTTCTCATTTGTGACCTCAGCACCTGCTGGAGATGTCACGGCAACACCCTGGTTCGGGTCTGCAGATTCAGTTTGCTGACTACTGCACACGTTTGAACCAGGAGGTACGGGGAGGGCCGGTAAAGTTGGGTAGAAAAGAAAATTTCTTTCATTAAAAACGTGCTTATTTCCCTGCTGTACACAAACAGTAACAAGATTCTAACCATTCTGACTTCACAGAAATTACCACATTTTTGTTTAAACAGTTAATTGGATTTTTGTTACTTAAAGCCAAAAATATTCTTGACTGATTCCTTCAGCCTCTACAACTGGCATTCTAGAAGAAAAAAGAGAAAAGTGGAGGGAAATAAATAAGAAGGAGAAAAGGAGAAGATGATTTCCCAAAACAGTGTGGAGAAACTTTAGAATATAATTTTATAAATCAAGAGAAGAAACAGAACATATTTCTTCAAAAGGAACTAGAATCAGACCAGCATCAAATTTCTCATCAACACACATTAAGATGTAGTGTGATAGCTTCAAAGTTTTAAGAGAAAATGATTTTGAATCCAGAGTCACATACCTAGCCCAACTAGCATTTAAATAGAGCAAATTAACATTGTTTTCAGACATGTAAGGAATACAGTACAATCCACACAATATACCCTTTCTGAAAAGAAAAGAATTTCATAAGGGTATCTACTCCAGCAAAAAGAAGTTCAAGAAAAATGATAATGTGTGCTCCAAGAAACCATGATAAGTGCAGAAACCATAAAAATGTACTAAGTTAAATAATTTTTCATGAATAATGCAAAAAAAGATATATTAAGAAAAAAGCCTGAAACTTAATCCACTGAGCCACGCCATCCAGGGCCAGCCTGCAGCTTTTTTCAGGCTTTTCATGACGGGAGGCAGAGGAAAGGCAGAAGGTTGGGAAGGGACCGAAGGGTCTCAGCTTCTTGTGGAGGAGGACAGAGACAGCAGAAGTCAGTCCAGATTAACGTTAAATAAAAACATACAATAGGAAATCACCAAGGGGAAATAAAAATATGGTGGAAGAACAAGGAGAGAAGCAAGGAGAAAACTGGTAAATCCCACAAACAGCATGAAAGGAAAAAAATGAGAAAGCACAAAGGAAATATATAAGATGGAAGATTAAGTCCAAACACATCTGTCCAAACATATATATATTTGTCCAAACACATATAAACTTGAATATATTAGTAAGTGATTCAGCAAAACCATGAAATCTATTTGTTTATAAGAGTCACAGAAATTAAATGCCAAAAAAAAAAATACACCGAGCATGTTCTCAAAAGGCAAACATAGCAACATTGACAGTAAACAAAACAGATTTCAAAGCAAAAAAATATTCAATTAGATAGCAATAGTCCATTCTGACTAAAAGTATGATCTATTAAGAAGATATGACAGCCCTGACTGGTGTGGCTCAGTGGACTGAGTGCTGGCCTGTGAACCAAAGAGTTGCCGGTTCGATTCTCAGTCAGGGCACACGCCTGGGTTGCGGGCCAGGCCCCCAGTTGGAGATGCATAAGAGGCAGCCACACATTGATGTTGATGTTTCTCTCCCTCCCTCCCCCTCAAAAAAATAAATAAAATCTTTAAAAATGAAGGAGTAAGAAGATACGATGGTGATTAATCTTTGAGCACTTCATAATCACTTCCAAAATGGTAAGTTTTAAAACGGATGTTTTCCAACAGAATATTGATGAAATCATAGATCATCCATAAATTGAATACTATACTGACATTATAAAAATGATGTAAACCCATATGTTATATTCAGAAGGAGATTCAAGATACATTACTGAAACAAATAAAGCAAGTTCCAATTACCTGTACAGAATGATCCCTTCTCCATGCACTTTAAAATAACATATATATCAAAGGTAGTATAAGTAAAAATTTGTTTTTAGAAAGTAATATATGAAGTCTGTCTGCAAAAAGTCCAACATTGTTAATATAACGAGAACAGTTTGTGTGACATTGGTGTAGCCTGGCAGCCCAGGAGAGTGGACTGGAACGTGCCCGTGCGAACAAGGACGACTTCACTGTACTAGTCAGTGGGGTGGTAGACGCCACTGAGTGAGCGTGTGGACTGTGTGGCTGTCACATTCAAAACGACTGACTGAGTAGAGCAATGAATCTGCATCAAATTTTGTGTTAAGCTTGAACATTCCTCCATGAAAACTATTTGGATGATTTAGAAGGCCGTGACTATGGGCACCTGGTGATTGGCAGCTTCATCATGACAGGGCGTGAACTCGTGTATCACGTCTTGTGCAGTTTTTTTGGTAAAACATCAAATCACCCAGGTGACCCAGCCCCACTATAGCCCAGATTTTGTACCATGTGACTATGTGACTTCTGACTTTTCAGAACACGAAAGTCACTTTTGAAAGGGAAGAGATTTCAGACCATCGATGAGATTCAGGAAAATACAGTGGGGTAGCTGATGGCAAATGGGAGAACTGTGTGAGGTGCCCAGGTGCCTCCTTTGAATGGTACTGAGGTGTCATTGTCCCACACACAATGCTTCTTGTATCTTGTATGTTCTTCAATAAGTGTCTCTATTTTTCATATCGCATCGTTGACCTTTTGGACAGACGTCATATAAGAAACTATCTTAAAGTGAGAGGTTGAGATACCCTTTACTTTTCATTTTCTTCTTTTTTTTTACTGTTTAAATTTTATAACCAAGTGTTCAAAGAACATATAAACTAAGAAACATGTGATTATTTTATCTTTTTTCCCTGGCTTCTGGGTTTTGTGGTATACTTAGAAAGAACTTCTATCATTCCAATGTTCTCCATAATTTACTCATGTTTTCTTCTGGCACTTTTACAGTTTCACTTTTTCCCATTTAAATCTATGATCCACCTGGAACTTAGGTGGGTTCAAGGTGTGAGGTGGAACTGTAGCTTCCCCCACACATACCAAATTCCTGCCAGTTGTCATAAAACCAGTAATTTGATAATTAATAATTTTACTCACTGTCTGAAACAACACAAAATGTTTATTCTGTTCTATTTCTACACAAAATATTAGGAATTTCTGTTCAATTAGTGTAGCTTTATAATGTATTATCCAGTGGGGCTGGTTTTCCCTTAGTCTCTTCCAAAATAAAGATTATTTGTCCACATTACCTCTCTTAAAATTTTGCCAAAAGAAAAAATACACATAAACGAATCAGGTAGCCCCAAAACAGCATATACATAAAAGCTATTCTTTCATAAATGATGCTAAGAAGTTTATCCAATTTGTTTGCTATTGTGCTAATAAAATTAAAAACCAAAAATTAGTTCTTTATCAACAGAACTGATAATGCTTTGGCCAGATTTCAGTGAGGAGGGGATGGGGAAGCCCAACCCTGTGTGGGGGAGCAGCCATCGGTGAGGCCTGGCCACTGTGATGTCCCCTTGGTCACTCGCCTCATGCCACTCCTGCCTAGTACGGGTGCTCCAATCACAGTGGCCTGGCCTGGGTTTCGTTTTCTGAACACACCAACTTTGGGTTCATCTTAAGCCCTTGCGTACAACCTGTTCACTTTTCTGTGCATGGCTGGCTCCTTAATTTCACTGAAAATTTGGGTCAAGTAACTTTTCAATGAATTACATATAAAGCAGCGGTACCACTCCCTAAGATAGTGTCACTGTTTTCATTTTTATAGCACTTACTACAGCTGAATCTATTTATTCCACTAGTTTATTTATTCTCTGTCTCACACATTTAAATTAACTCCATAAAAACAGGGAACCTGTTGATTTGTTCACTGCTATATTCCCAGTGCCTACCAAATATTAGATAGTCAAAACAAGCTGAGTGACAAAATGAACAGATACTTGGGATTTAGGCCAATGAGCTGGATGCGTAAGGGCAAGAAAGAAGGATGGTAACAGAACCAAAAGTGTCTACTCGAATGATCACCTGCAGAATTTCCTAATGTACTCCTGGTTAATCCTGATGAAGCCAGCACATTGCTGGAAAGATTTTGGACCCAGTCCTTTCACTTTCTTCAGCTGTTCTCGGTTGATGAAGGGTCCATTTTTCTCTCGCCATTCAATAATATTCTTGGCTCGGTTGGCATTGAGTCCTGCAATATGCCTAAAAAAAAAAAAAAAAAAAAACCAAAAATGCGAAATCTGGCAGATATAGTAGTTCCAAGAGTACTGAAAGGAAAGCTCTCATCTGAAAAGACAATAATATAAAACATTTGTATCATAAAAAATGCAATTACATATTATCACATGTCTCGAACTGTAAAGATGCTGGTACCCCAGTTACCACTGGTGCAAGGAGAAGGACTGCTCCCCACAGCATTTCTTCACTGTGCACAGTCTTTGTATTTCTGCACCAAGTAGCAAGTTTGCCATTTCCTGTTTAGCTTACAAGGTGAGTTAAGAGCAGAAGTTACAATAGCTACATTTGCATTTACTGCCCTATTTTTTTTATCAGCCTGTTCTCATTAATGTAAAAGACTTGAACTACAGAAAAGTACTTATCCATGAATGTCATGCTTAGTATAAAATTTAAAAATTATAAAATTATGTAGTTTGCTTGTTGTTAATTAAAAGATTACTATTCAAGAGAATCTTAATCTACTATAGAATTCCATATGTGGAATTATGAGCACTTGTAGCTATGGTAGACAAGCAACACCTTAAAGCGTAAGGGATATTTTCTGCTATACCCATGTCAAAGGGAAAAGGTCAGATCATTTACAGAAATCTGGAATTTTATGCTGCATCAGCAGATTTGTGTAATAAATGTAAACTTCGAACAAAAAAGCAACTGTTCCATATCCCCAGGAAAAAAAAGACAAAGTATGTAAAATGAGATTACAGAACGATGAAGATTTTGGCATGTGACTTGAGGAATCAAGGTGCAAATGTGGTAACCGTACCACAGAACCCTCAGAATTCATCCTTTGGTTACCGCCAACTTTGACAGATGAATGCAAGAGACTGAAGTAGTGGAAAATATCTTTTCTCACGTGGTGGGAAACAGCTCTTTGCCATGTTAACCTTGTTTAAATTCTATTAGTGACACTAATGCACCCAATGGTAACCATATGCCCTTCGCTTTAGATTTGCAGTATTAAAAATGATAATGTGAACTGGTACAGTTCTCTTCTTAAATGTCTTCCCTTCTGATTGATTACCTAAAGCAAGGTATGAACTCACAGATTTTTCTACACCTAACAACTTCACACATGTGCCCCCTTGTAGCTAGACAGCCAGTTCAACTCAAGATTCTGTGATCCTCAACCACAGATTCCTTGTCTCACCTTAACAAAACTTCTGAGCAAATGTTAACGTCCACGCCCACGAAGCTGACACATTCTTCTACGACACTGTCCAGTGTGGCCTTGAGTAAAGTCGGGGACACGTCGTGCTTAAAAAGACAAAAATCAAATATCAATCAAAATTAAAGAACGAAATTCTTGGACTATTCCATTATTTTGCCTACATAGCTGGCTAAGACACAGCATAGTAAATTACATCATTTCTTTTAAGTACACTGTTAGCAGATATAATTAATCCGAACTTAAGGAATCTGTGTTTTCTTACTCTAAACTGCTCACACACTTCGCTCTAATATAATATAACCAGTGTTTCTCCCCTTTCCAAAATTCTGCTTAGAGCAGTAGTTTTCGAACTTTGGCTTGCCATCAAAACCACCCGCAGGGCTTGTTAAAAACACAGGTTGCTGGGTCTCCACATCCAGAGTTTCTGGGTCAGTAGGTCAGGGGCATGTCCTGGGAATCTGCATTCTAACAGACTCCCCAGTGATGTTGTTGCTGCTGGTTCCCGGAGCATGTTTTGAGAAATACTGGTCTCTGCCATTTACTCACTGCCTTGTAGTGTTATCGTCACTTGCATGTATATTCTCTTAGTTCTTCTTAAGAGAAGAAGGCTTACATTATACTAGGAAGCAGTACTTGAATACTCAGTGACTTTGACAGGAGATCGACTCACGTTTCATCAAATTGAAGATGCTATTGCTTATATGAAGCATCATTATTGCTTTCTCATTAATTTAATATTTTTAAATATTATAAGAGGTGTTTTAAAGTTTTAAAATCACATATCATGCAAAGATAAAAAAGAAAATATGAACAATCTAAGCTGGTTCAGGTTTTCTTCACATTCAGCATTCCATTCCTCTGAATCACTTCTTTTCTCAGAGTCATAGATGTCGACGTTTTCAATAGAAAACTGTCTTTTACATTATCAAAAGAAATGTAGCATTTCTTAAAGGAGAAGGATGAGGTCTGCCCTGATAGTATACAGCCATGTAATATGAAAAATAGAGACACTTATTTTAGAAGATACAGGATACAAGAAACACTGTACATAGGACAATGATGCCTTAGTCCCCTTTAGAGTAGGCACCTTGGGACCTCACACAGTTCTCCCAATTGCCATCAGCTGCCCATCGTATTTTCCTGAATCTCACTGACAGTCTGAAATCTCTTCCCTTTCAAAGGTGATTTTAATTTTGGGGAAAAGCCAAAGTTGCAGGGAGCCAGATCTGGGTATTAGGAGGGCTGAGTTGTGTGGGTGATTTGATGTTTCTCAAAAAAACTCTGCATGAGACATGATGCATGAGCAGGCATGTTTATCATGATGAATCTACAAACACCAGTGGCCCATAGCTGTGGACTTCTGAATCACCTGAAGAGTTGCTGGGGAGAAATGTTCAAGCGTAATGCAAAATCTGATGCAGATTCATTGCTCTACTGGCTCAGTCATTTTGAATGGGATGGTCACACAATATACGTGCTCACTCAACACCACCGACCATCCCCACTGACTAGTACAGGGAAGTCGTCTTTGTTCATGTAAGTTTATTCTAGTCCACTCTCCTTGGCTGTCTGGTTACATCAATGTCACCCAAACCATTCTCATTAAATTAACAATGGCTGGACTTTTTCTGGACATGCCTTGTATTCCAGTCTCTGGGATTTTCTTTCAAGCTTTAGATGTTCACTCTGTAAACTTCGATAGTAGTCCCATCTTAATCTTAACAGAAAGTATCAAAAGAAGAGATTTGGGAGAGCAACAGAAATCCTATTCTTACCGTAAAGTTTCTTAAATGTTTTATTGTGAAATGGTTTGTCAACTAGAACAGTGAAGTTCAAGGCATGTCTCCAGGATTAATAATCAAGTTCACACAGAAAATACACCATGATTGCTCATAGGGCCAACAGCAGTGGTAGGAAACCAATGAATGTAAATGCATCCTGATTTCCAAGATGTTAAAATGCAAGAAAATGTGCATCTTGGAAGTGATGGAACACAGTGTTTGAGAGTAAATATTTGTTGGCAAATTGAAGCCAGATTACCACAATGAATTGTTCATATTGCACTCGATACTGTTCCTAGTTCTAAAATTAAAGATCCTCTAGTTGTTTTCCCAATATGAAACTAGAGGTCAGCATCACTCTCTTGTCCATATGTCTTGAGGAAAAAAGGATAGGTTTGATAACCTTAAACACAATATAGTAAATAGGGCCCCTAGGTATTGTGATTGACCACATTATTATCACTTGGTAACAGCACACATTTCGTTCTGCAGATTGAAGGGTACAGTAGTACTTTTTACGACAGAGGAAACCTACTTGGTAACTATTCAGGCCACAGCTAAAATATTTAAATGTAATTTTAAAAATCTAATAAGCAAACATGATCATGAAAAAGATCCTAAAGAAAAACCTAAGGTCTCACTGAGAATCTGATCACTCTTGAGCTACAGCTTTTAAGCAGCAAGATAGACTAGCCCCGAATAGTTTTATTGCTCAGTTGTTTGGGCATCACTCTGAAAAGTGATAGGTCACTGGTTCGATTCCTGGTCAGGGCACATGTCTGGGGTGTGGGTTCAGTTTCAGTTGGGGCCCATATGATAGGCAACTAACTGATTCATGTTTCTCACATAAATATTTCTCTCAGTCTATTTTTTCTTCCCGAAAAACAAAAAGTCTTTTTTTTTTTTTTTAAAAAAAAAAAGGAGCAGGATAGTCTTTTCTTTATCTAAATAGATGAGAAGAAGCAAAACAAAAAAAAAGGACTTAGGAAAAAAGTGAGGGTAAGGGACAGATACTAATGTAGAAGCAACAACAATGACAACAACAGGAAAAACTATCTGAGGAGAGAGACCAAACCCTAACCAAACAGGAAAAACTAAGAGTAATGGTTGGAAGCCATTGCAGTGAAGACGAAGAACGCCACACACGCCCAAGCACACGAGATGCCTCAGGCAGCGACATGAGCAGCATCTGTGCAGCGGGCACTCTCGGTTGTCTGTCCTACCTCTAGCCTCTAACCCCACTGTTCTCTTCCAAACAGAAGCCCGACTGTCTTGCGTGCATCCACCCTACCTCTGGGAGGCCGTGTGCTCGGGGAAAGCTGGCCCCAATTCCAGCTGATGATAATGACTGGTTAAAACCAGTGGTTTCCAAATTGAGGGTTGTGACCAATTAGTGGGTCATAAAGTTAATTTGGTGGCTTGCCACCAGCATAAAAAAAAATCAAGAAAGAAATAGAATAGACCACATAGAGCACGTTGTGTATGTCCTTAACGGGCAATGAACAGCACAATGAATACTGCAGCCAGATGAGACAAAAAACATGTGTTTTGGTTGCTGGTATCTCATTTGATTTTCTGAAAAATGATGGTCATTTTGACCACTGATTGATGGAGAGCTTAAAGAGCAACTTTTCAGAGTTATGAGGCAAAGTATCAGGAAAAAAGGTATGAGAACTCTATCATCTTTTGGCAAAATGCTGATTCTTTTAACCAAGTTTAGTTACAAACTTTCAGTGTATTTTTAGAAAGAATGTTGTTGAGTATAACGTTTTCCAAATTATTAGCATTTATAACATTTTAACTGAGTTACTATAAGTTGTCCTTAAGGTACATCAATTTAAACACTGAAGAAAAAAATACTGAAGCAAGCTCAACTAACAGATTTGGAAGTGTTAATAATGACAGACAAAATTGAGGGAAACTGTCCAATCAGCAATCTTTAATTTGACTTGAGTCATATTTTAAACAGAAAAAAAATATCTGTAAGTCTTTATAATAAACAGCACATTAAAAAGGATTTTACAAATATACAGTAACAATAAAAACAAGAGACCCCTGATGTATTTCTGGTAATGGTGTTTTACTAGATGTCAGTCTAAAACTTTCAAAATTAAAAATCAAATAAAAACATTTGGAACATCCATACTAGAATGACTAAAATGAAAAAGATGAAGAATGTCAAGTATTGGTAATACTGTAAAGAGAGTAGAATACTCAAAATATCAACATGATAAATAAATTTTAGGTCAGATTTGCAAGTCAGTTCATTGGAAAACTTACTCTGTATAATTTAAATATAACTTATAAAACTGAACCAGATATATATACATAATCTAAAAATGCATTACTATTTAAAGTAAATTAAATTAAATAAACCACAGAATAAAAATAAATAAATTCCTAGAAATGCAGTAATGATCAAAACTGACTCGAGAAGAACTAAGAATATCTGAACAGACAGACCTATAACAAGAGATTCAATCAGTAATAAAAAATCTTCCAAAAAGGAAAAGTCTAGGATGAGAGACCTTCATTGGTGAATTCTACCAAACAGTATTAATTTAAAGAATTAATACTAAGTCTTCTCAAATTCTTTCAGACAATAAGAGAAGGAAACACTTCCTAACTCACTTTATGAGGCCACTATAACCCTGTATCAAAGCCAGTCAAAGATACCACCAGGAAAAAAAAAAAAAAAGAAAGAAAGAACAACTGGCACACAAAAACTACAAACCAACAATGTTTATGAATGTAAGGAGCAAATATCCTCAACAAAAAACCTAGGAAACCAAATCCAACAGCATATTAAAAAAATAAATATCATGACATATATATTATGCATTTAGTGCATGTAAATTCAAGAAGCAGGTACATTTTTTTCTGTTGAAAAACAATCTCTTGGCATTTTTCAACTTTTAATTTTGCAATTTCCTCAAATTTAGAAAAAAATTTAAGAGTAGTAAAAGAATTTACTCATTCATATAAATACTTCAGTGTGTATTTCCAAATACACTGTCTTACAAACCATTCATTGTACAATAATTACAACCAGGAAAATTATCACTGATGTTATAATATTACCCAATGCACAACCTATACACAAATTTCATCAACTGTCCCAATCCGGCTTTATAGCATTTCCTTCTCAGTGCAGAATTCAATCCACAGTCACACATTGCATTTACTTATCTTTTTATACTCTGTGTGAGGCAGCTTTCAAGACAGTTCCCAGGGACCCCCCAAGTCCTGGTACTCATGCACCTGTGTAATCCTGTTTCCTTGAGTCTACAATTCACTGATAATTC